GTAGTGGGCGATCCAGAGAAGGAATCTACACACATGGTAATTTTGAGATTGAGTTTCTCTTACGTAGAACTGAGCTAAGAGAATGGCCTTGAAAGACTATTACAATGAGGTCCTGAACCCTTATGCAGAAGTGAGTTGAGGGGTGCCTGGTTGACCTGAGATTCCGAAGGTTGGCGCTCAGAGAAGCAATATTTTCCTGGGGATCAAACATTTTTGCCTGGGTCGTGTCTAAAATCAGCCCCAAATTCTCTAAATGGTAGGAAGGCAGACTTCTTGAAGTTTATCACCCATCCGAAGGTTTGAAGGAAATTGATTGTCTGTTGAATGTTGGAAAACAGGTTTGTGGCTGAGGAATCCTTCAGTAGAAGGTCAACTAGTGGGTTGGGCTTCTTAAAAGAGAACATGTCACTTATCCCATTCAGCACAAGGAAGCAAATTCTCTCTAAGAGGCAGTCTACACCTGCTCTTATTTGGATACTGTGCATCCTTCACTGCAAGCTATAAAGAAAATTCTATATGTTAGCTTACTATAAGGGTCTGCACAGTAATATTACCCTCTCTCTCCCACAAATGAGCATGCTTAAGTGTGCAACAATCCTTTCTGGAAACACCTTGGTGCATATTATGGAAACTCAACCTGCCAACAGCACTTTCACAAATCCAGTAAAATGTGATATTTAATAGGTTGCAGTAACTGTATCTGCCACCAGGCAGAGCACACGTTGCATCCACCTACAGTAGATTACACTGCTGCGACACAATCACAGTCTCTACAGATTCATATGGTAAAAAATCTAGCTGTCGTTCACATGACCATTACATGAAGCCCCTGATGAAAAAAGAGCAATTTTGACTTACCTTTAAATTCCATATCCTGGAATACAGACCATCAAGAAAAAAATTTCACCAGCACACCGAGGATCACCAATATGGGTCCAAAGGTTTTAATAAACCATCACATAGTTACAGCATTGCCTTGCTGTAACTATGTGATGGTTTATTAAAACCTTTGGACCCATATTGGTGATCCTCGGTGTGCTGGTGACCTTTTTGTCTTGCTGATTCTGTTCGGTTCCAGCCGACGGTCACTGCAGCACACACTTATACACACAGCCAAGTTAACGCAGGAACGTGTGCGTTTGGATCATACACTTGCATTCTGGAATACAGACCAGGACACAGGCAGAGTACTCATACACCATGGGTTAAGGCAGCCTTTCTCAACCAGAATGCCCAGCACCCTGAGGTGCCTTGAGGTTTCCTCAGGGGTGCCTTGGCAAAATGTCTACAAATTACCGACAAATTGTATAAAAGCCAGCGGGTGGAACAAGCCTGCCTTTTAGTTACACAGTCACATTTTCATTGTGCACCATTACGACCTGCTAGCCGCCAGAGTCCTAACAACCAATGACATCATCAGTTGATAAGGAGGATGTCAGCTGCCTGCACAGCATCCTAGTTTGCCCCTCTCCGTCAATGCTGGGGTCACATTAGCCCAGCGATGGAGAAAGACTGAGGGAGAAGAGGAACACTGGAATACTAGTCAGTACCAGTGTGCAAAAGTGTATTTGCTTTGGAAGAATGAATCCCCTCTAATGTTGGGTGTCCTCCATGTGTGGATGTTGCTGCGTTATATGAAACCATTAGAATAGTTTTTCACAGTTTAGAATGGGGTGCCTCAAGACTGTCCATAATTTTAAAGGATGCCTTGGGAATGTCCATAATTTTAAAGGGTGCCTTGGGAATGTCTCATTTTAAAGGGTGCCTTGACTGAAAAAAGGTTGAGAAACGCTGGGTTAAGGGTGTGTACCTTCCAGTGATTGAAAACTGGCAAAGCTTTAGAGGACACACCCAGTGGGCACCTCTCCTATAACCCACTTTGTGAGTTCTCAGTTTTGTAACAAGCACTGGTGAATAAACCAAGGAATGGAAGGGAGGGTGTCCTGTACTGTGGTGGCCCGTGATTTGGAATTTACAGGTAAATCAAAATTCCTCTTAATCTTGCAGTAGAGGACACAGGCAAGGTTATTCATACAGTCTGGAACATCCCCAGACAATGAATAGGAAGGGTGGGCAACACTGAGGCAGAACTGCGCCAACAGGCCCAACTACAATGCTAGCTTTAACAAGTTTCACACGGTCACGTGCTTAGTTGTGACTAAACACGTGACCATGTGAAACACGTTAACAGCTAGTATTGTCCTGCTGCTATTTGTGTCCTTTTATGGATCAATAAACTATCTTCACTTTTTCATCATATCTCCGTGTACGGCCAAACCCGTTCTATCTATGACAATGGTTCACTTTAAAGAAAACCTGTCACAAGAGAAACGTGGAGGTTGTCATTGCTGACCTTCCTTTGTTTTAATGGTACCTGCATGGTTATGGCACTGACTCCGGACTTCAAATGTTTGTCTGACTTTCCTGATCTGCAGATTTGTCCCAGATCAGTGAAAGTACTTTTGCCATGGAAATTAGCATTAAAAAAGAAAAACAAAAAGTTCCACAATTGCAGTCTTGTATTTCTTTAATGATAAGATTACTTTAGGCTAATCACCTCTCTGCACAGTGACAGGGTTAAAGCAGAACTAAACTCTCCCTTCCACAGACAGGAAAACTAAAAAACGCTACGGTTTAATTTCCAAAGCCTATAAAGTAATTGTCAAATACAAAGGATGAGCTTGCTTACCATGTAAAACACTTTTAGGGCTCATGTACACTGCAGCTGATAAACTCACGTTCAGGAGCTGTTCTGTGTTTTTTTCAGCAGCCCCTGAACTCTCCCTAATGTTTTCCTATGTGCCCATGTACCCATCTTCGTTTACAGTCATTTACAGGCATTTGAGTTCACAGTCGTTTTTTTGAACGCAGAAAACTTGTGTTCAGCAGTCGATTTTATCAGCGTTTCAAACACAAAATTCAGCTAAATTAATTACATTACATTGAGTTTATATAGCGCCAAAGGGTTTGCTCAGTGCTGTACAATAGAGGGGGGGGACAATACATGAAACATTACAGCAACTACAAACAGCACACGAGGGGTTGCAAATCGCGTTTATAAGTGTTTGTGTTTGAAATTTTTTTTTTAACTGTTCCCAATGCTGTCCAGAGCCTTTTTTCATCATGAAAAAAATGCATGCAAAGCGTTTTCAAGGTACTCAGATGGACAAAACACTGAACACAGGATGTTCCTACCAAGCTTGTCACACATTGCAATGACCAATTCACACCTCAGACCTCTCCCACCCTTGGAAACAAAAGATATGTTAATGATCATTCACACCTCAAATTCCTCATGAAGACCCCCTGCCAGGTGACCTTAATGACTCCCACCATCAGACACCTTTCCCACCCTTGGAAACAAAAGAAATGTTAATGAGCAACTCACACCTAAGCTAATCTCAACACATGCTGCTGTCTCTGCTTCTACTCTCTGCATTTCTCTGAAACAGTCTGAAATAGTTAATAATTTACCACTTTTCAGTGCATTCTGGGCATATGGGAGGTTCTCCTGTGCTTATCTTTATAAAATGCTTCTAAGCGCAAACGCGCATAAACACGTTATGCAAACGCAGCTAAACAGACTGTTTTTAACCTATGTTTTCCACCAGTCAGTTTCCATCGTTCAGAAGTGTCCAAAGTACATGGGGCCTTAGGCTCCAAAATCCCCTGCCAGCTGAAGCTAGCGCCATCTTGTATAAAATCCAGCACCTTACCTCCTGGATACTGGCATCTGCCCCACCACTGCCATCACTATTAAATGCCCATTAAAAAAAAAAAAAAAAAAGTCTCACTTTAGATCAAACCGGATATCGTATGTACTCTCCAGCGCCTCAGGATATGCACAGCCAAAAGGGAAGCCAAGGGTATCAGGACAGCGACAACCAAAGGAAATGCTCCAGGGGTGCAGCCCTCCTCAGACGGGGAAATCAGCCACTGGATAGAGAGAAAACAGGTGGTGCACACACCTAGTGCATTATCCAAGGTTTATTGTAGGAGTGAAATATTAAAAACATACTCACAGACGAAGCATGTATCTAAAAAGCATAGAAAAATGACAATGGCCACAACGGCAGGCAAGGTGTTCTCACTGTCAGTGCGGTCAAATGGCTGACGTGTTTTCCTTTCCTCAGAGCTGATGACCAACCTCTGATGCTGATGTATGATGAATGGAAAGTAAGAGCCTCGCTGTTGATGCCTCATTTTTCTATGCTTTTTAGATACATGCTTCGTCTGTGAGTATGTTTTTATTGTTTCACTCCTACAATAAACCTTGGATAATGCAGTAGGTGTGTGCGCCACTCTCTACTCACTTTAGATCAAGTTTCATAGTGCTACTACATCAGCAGCTGCTCGCTTTATGGCAAACAAAACAGAAGCACATATCAGTGGATGCTCTTCAGCATGGTTATAGTGCCACTATACAGAAACTATAAGGGGGAGGGGGGGTATTTTCGGAGGCTGGAGAATTATCAGTGATGTTGGAAGTAACATGAAGGTGAGGCTTACATCAGGCTCACAAGAGACTAACAGTGCAGGCTGATGTAAGCATGCTCTGTGCAGACCGCTGATGTGAACGCAGCAGAGACTGCGCATGCATTACACTGCCTAAATGAGAAAGAAAACTGCAGAAAAAGACCACAACGTTTAAATTTTAATGACTTGATCAGTAGCTTTGAAATGCATGTTAAGGTAAGCTTTCATACAGGACAAGCTCATATTGGCGAGTTTAGTTCTGCTTTACACATCACGCCTCAGAGCTACACTGTGTAGCAGACAGTTCTCATCAAGACAATGGTGGTATTCTTACTACACAGATGCACAGACTGACACTCCGTGACAAGCTTTTGAGTCTCTTGAAAAAGTCTCTTTCCATAGGAAACATGTCGGCTGTAAAGAAAGAACAGCGGCTTCTTGAAATGAGCAGCCAGAAATTAAGTGGACTGAATGACGGAACAGTCACTGGCGGCTAAAATGAGATGCGGGGAGGACGAGAGGGATCAGTGTTTCTCCAATGCTTTTGTTAACAACTCGTTTAAGCGTGCCACCATGGGTCGGGGGTCGTCATTAAGTCCGGCTGCAATCATTGCGCTCTCGTAAATCTGTATGGAAGTAACAAAGATGGTTCATATCTTACAGATCACAGCACAATTCACAATTATGATGGACCAATTTACAAAGCTATAATCATTATTTGCTACAACAATTTTCTTTTAGCAAAGAACTGAACGGAACAATTACTATGGAAAGTAACACATGTATTATAGCCAGGGGCAGACTGACAACTCATGGGGCCCCCGGGCAATAGGGGATCATGAGTCCCCTGTGTCCTTGCCCAAACTTAAAAAAGCCTATGAAAAAGGTACCAGCATCTCATGGGGTCCCCTACTGACCCCGGGCCCTCGGGCAGTGCCCGAGTTTCCAAATGGTCAGTCCGTCCCTGATTATAGCTGAACTGAGCTGGAACTGCAGGGAAGAGATCTCTGCATCAAAATTACAGCTGTAAATGCTAAGCAGAGATACTTAAACGGGAGATCCTTTTCACAGCAGGATTCTGCTTTCTTTTACACAGAGGGAAGACCAAAACAGAAGGTAAACTCCCTTAGTTGGTTTCATACTTTCTGGAGTTCCACCAATGACAGAAACAGCTAGTTGTATAGACATGTCCTACAACCAGTCATGCACAAGTTTGTGTCTGAAAAGGAGGGCCATATCCATATTTACTATGGTCACAAAAATACTAGCAACTTTTCCTCCAGGCCCCTACAATGTTTATAAACGCATGTAGTTGATAAAACTGCCTAGTGCTCATGACTGTTGGCTTCATGCACATAGATGTACGAGTCTGTACAGAATAAACAAACTGCACATTTTGGTGACCAGGGGTTTCCAGTGCCCCAAACATTACTCACTTCAACTCCAGAATTTTTTACCCCCCCACTTTCATGAACAGGCCATTTTTTTATATTTAGCACTGCGCTACTTTAACTGGTAATTGTGCGGTCATGCAACTCTATACCCAAATAAAATGTATTTATTTTTTCCACACAAATAGAGCTTTCTTTTGGTAGTAGTTGATCACCACTGGGTTTTTTAAATTAAATAAACAAAAGATCAAAAATTTGCAAATCCAAATCAGCAACTTATAGTGGGACTAATAGTGCAGCGAGCAATCTGACACAAACTGACATCACTAGTGACACTAATACAGTGATCAGTGATAATACTATACACTGTCAATGTACTAATGACACTGGCTGGGAAGGACTTAACATCTTGGGGTAATCAAGGGGTTAAGTGTGTGCCTAACAAGTACTAATGTGTGTATTATGTGCTTCTTTTTATTAAAAATCACTTTGTTCCTTTTCCCTGCAGGGAGAAAAAACAAAGATTGTTCCCTTTGTACAGAGCCCTGTGTTGATTGTCAACACAGGTCTCTGGGCTGTGATAGGACACAGACGATCAGCAGGTCCCAGCCCTGAATCATTTGCCGGGGACCTGCTGACAAATCCTGCGCCCTATACCCAGAAGAGGCCAGTGATATATAGGTACATCACTGTGCCTGTACGGGTCGCCATCCACAGTGCATCGTGGGTAGGCGGTCCTTAGGGTGTAGACAACTGTATGCAGATACTTGCATAAAGTAACGCGTGTGCACAGACGTAATGTCCGAACACACACTACCCGCATGAAGTCTTATCCACTGGCCTACCCGACTATCCCCAACAATGCTTTTACTTTGGCCAGATTCCTAGAATGAGTAAAGCAGTATGGCATGGCTGGAGGTGCAGGTCTGTTAGGATTCATGCACACAGAAGCAGAATCTTGCTGGCAGAAAGATCATGCATAAAAAAAATGCATTCAATGGTTTGTAAAGTAACATATCACAATCAATCAGAATCCATCCTGCACTGGTTTGACTTTAGCAAAGTAAAATCTGATTGGTTGTTACTGCATTAACTATAACGAATAAGGCAGATTTTGAAGATAACATGGGATAGGAGATAGGAATTCTCCAGCCATGACATTCCTTAAAGGAATCTATACTAGATGATGATCATAGCATTTTTCCTCTAGGGACCCACTAGGTGAATGTGTATGCTAGCCGAAGTATAAACCAAAAGATGGTATGTATTTGGGCTGGGCTAAGTAAATGTTTAGGACAGCCCAAAGACATAGCAAAAAGAAAAAAAAAAAGAGTGAAATGAAGAAAAAAAAATAGCTTTTAGCCATAACGTAATGCATGGGCAGTTAAGCCCACTCTCTTCACTATGTGCCCATGGACAGCCAAGGTTTCTGTGCTCAGAGTGCACTCCCAGCACAGTGAGCGAGCTGTCAGACAGTTCCCAGCTTCTATTAATGGTCGGGAGCCGGTGCTCGAGAACTTGCCTACAACTGGTTTACTTACCTGTTCCAGAAGTAATTTGGCCAGATCCAGGTCTGTGTCTTTCAGCTGTCCTAACTTCTTAATTAAAGGATGCCTGTAAAACAATGACATACTGTAACATAGCTGGACATAGATATCACAGTGCTTTGTATTGGCTTTTCATGTGCATTTTTACTGGTTATGAATATAAGAAGCCTCCTATTTTTCACTATCGTTGCAATGTTTGGTATGCATCTGTCAGAGACCCACGAATCCCCCCGATTATGGTTGTCTGACTGGTTACTGGCCCTTTTCTGAAAGACTGTGGTGAGCTTTACTTTTAGTCCTGTTTCTACACATCCCAAGGCTGGCACTCTCATGGTAAAGTCCAAGACTATGTTCCAGAGGCACCTTGAGAGTAGTGTGTGGCTACCACAAGAGGTATGCTACTGAACGCTCTTTTAACAGAATGCTACTGAAAGTTCTTAAAACAAACATATGCCACTGAAAGCTTTTAAAAGCAGGCAAAACTCCAGACAGATATAAAGAACTCATATTTAATAGACACACTCATTAAAAAAAAGTTAAAATGCACCTCTAATACAGCTAGTTTAACCACTTGCCTACCAGACACTTATACCCCTTTCCTGCCCAGGCCAAATTTCAGCTTTCTGCGCTGTCGCACTTTGAATGACAATTGTGCAGTCATGCAACACTGTACCCATATGAAATTTTTATCATTTTTTTACACAGATAGAGCTTTCTTTTGGTGGTATTTAATCGCCACTGGGTGTTATATTTTTTGCGCTATAAACAAAAGAGCAAAAAATTTGAAAAAAAAAAAAATGTTCTTCTTTATTTCTATTATAAACTTTGGCAAACAGGTAATTTTTCTCCTTCACTGATGTGCATTGATAAGGCTGCACTGATAGGCAGCACTGATGGGCACTGATGAGGTGGCAGGGATAGGCAACACTGATAGGAGTCACTGATAGGTGGCAAGGATGAGCTGGCACTGATGGTTGGCACTGATCATCAGTGTCGATCACTTCTCTGACAATTGCCATGTATCAGCAGTACTTTCCTCATGCTGTGATTTTATGAGTGTGAGGACAGCAAGTAGCACCATCCAAGAAATGCCATCATACCTCAAAAGTTAGCCTAGGCCAGAGTGCAATCGAGTAAGCCCCCTGTATGGGGGTGGGGTGAGGAGGAGAGCAAGCCACCATCAAAGTCTGGGGAAGGTGGAGGGGACCCCACAGGGCCAACCACCCCAGGGAGCACCCGCATCCCCCAGTGTGGGAAGGGAGGGGGCATTTCTACTTACCGATCCATGGAGTGTGCAGATAAGGCTCCCATGACAGATCCTCCTCTCCACCGAAGTGAGGGGGCTGTCAGCCAGGGGTAACACTGTGACACAGACTGTAGGCACCCGGTCATATGTGTCCCCGTGAGACGTTTAACTCGCTGCCCGCCCTTATCCGTGGGACATCGTCGCGGCTGACCCAGCACGGAGTTAGCGGTCTTCGCGTGCTCGCTGGTCAGACTGGGGTGACCACTGGATCTAGATTGTCCAGCCTGACTGTTGATCTCCACAGTAAAAAATCCCAGGGAAAAAAATAAAAGGCCATGGGTCCATAAGTCCCAGCAGAAAAATATATCTGTACTCCTGAAGACCCTAGGCAGAATGACTGGAGTCCTATAGCAGAGAAGGGGTTTTATGCCCAGAGAGCACTGCCCATAATAGGTGCCGAAGTTTTTTTTTTTCTGCCTAGTTTTTCCTACTCCTGTAGGTGGGGCTATAAAACCCTACTTAGTCATGGATAAATAAGAGGATGCTGTGTCCATCAACGAACGTAAGAGAAATGTGTATTTCTTTATTTTTCTTTCCCAAAAGGAAAATGTATCCTTTAAAACAAACCCGTGCTTTTATAGTTTCAAGATAAGTTAGTTCACCATTACAAAAACTGCCTATACAGGTAAGGAGTGTCTGTAGATAAAAACAAACTGTGCAGCCCTGACTAAAATTACATGATGCTCTTGTTATAGATGTAGGCCATTTACATACCTTCAGAAGCCTTACTGGAATACTTCTAGGACATTGCGAAGAAAGGCTTAGCTCTTACTTCTCACCTTCACCAGGAGCAAGCTATTTCTGTGATTCAGAGCCCCTTACATGTTCTGTGATGATGAAGGTGAGCTTTCCAGTCAGGCTTCAAAAGGTATGTAAATGGCCTACACCTACAGCAAGGGCATTATTCAACTTTAGTCAGAGCTGCACTGCTTATATTTATCTGCAGACACCCCTCACCTGCTTAGGTAGTTTGTTTGGTAAAGGTGAACTAACCCTTTATGTTCCCACACAGTATCGGCATATAATTACATTTTTTTGCTCCCCCCAACTGCTCCATTCAATATTGGGAGCTCAAGAAAATGGCTGATACTTTTCAGTATGAAGGCGCATGTGACAGTACTAAGCCAATAGGCACCGTTACATGGAAAGTCCATAGCAGTTGACATTTCTTGAGCACACACAAACGCAGGAAAACAGCACACATTAACGTGAGCGCTTACTGAGCAATATTCCTGGGATTTTTTACTCCTTTTTGCTGGGAAGACAAAACTAAGTGCTGGGTAATTTGTTTTGTGCGGTTATATTAAATTGTCCTTCAGAAGTGCACCTCGCTCCAATTATGTGAGAAGGGTCCCATTTATACACTTGCATAAAATTATAGATAAGGATGGTAACTTCACTGCCCAAAGCAACCCTTAGCCGTACAAAAATCAACCACATGGTTTATTGGTACAAGTGATTCCTCACCCAGTGTTTATCTCCAGTGTTGGCTGCAAAAGCTGCGCTCGCTCCTCGCTAGTTTTTGCTAGCTGCTGAGTGCGCAAGAAGTGTCGAGCAGCCCCCATCTCCAGTACAGTAATCATAGCCGGGTGAGTGTCAAGACGTGGTGTAACCTGCAAAGATGGAACACAACTAGATTCAAAGAGTGATGTAATTGTCAGGCTACGTCTATTAGCTTTTATCCTACATCTGTACAGCACAATGAATAATTGCATACTAACATTGCATTTGTGCAGGGCTCAACACCCACCTATGTGCATTTTATGTTCTACAGGTGCCTGTGTGGGTTTGTTTGGGTGCTCTGCTTTCTCACATAACATAAAAATATACTGCAGGGTTAATAAGCGTTCATCCAAAATCCGCCGCTGTGCATGTGTGCATCTGTAAGGCTGGGATATTAGATGATAAGCTCCTTCACTGAACTAATGTGGATGGCTTAAAGAGACTGTCTCCTTAACCACAACTCTCTCACCTCTCCAGTGCTCACTTCCTTCTTTAATGACTGCCACTTCAGAATACCTGAAGCATATTTTGGGCATGGGAGAGCATGTGACCTCCTCCCACAACGCAGTGCCCGGGCCTAGCACTCCTTTAAATTCTGACGACAGTAGACACTGGTTATATGGATGACAGTTGCACAGAAGGAGGAGCAGCAAGTGAGAGCTGGAGAGGTTCCACTTTAATTTTCTTTACCTTAATATTGGCCACTCGTGTCCCCAAGCCATTCCTCATCCAAGCCATCAAATCTTCTGCTTCTTTCTCAGATAGTTTGTCAGAAGCTGAGGAACAATAAAGATAAAGGGTTACATCTTGGCTGGGCAAATCTTTAGGTTGTCCTAGCATAGGCTTCTGGGAGTGTACCAGATATGAAAAAAAAAAAAAAAATCAGTGGGTGAACAAGACAGTAAACACTAGAACACAGGGGTTACCTTAAGAGACTAAGCACACTGTAAATACGGACACAAGCTATGTTACTGCTCCCATTTATATTATTGATATATGGGGATATACCTGCCCTACTGTCCTCAAACTCTTCCTCCTTGTAGTGATCCACCACGATGTCTGTCTCCACTGAAATAAGCTTCTTCTTATCAAACTCTCTCAGATGCAGAAGAGTCAGTTCATCAAACTGCTCAAAGCAGAACAAAACCTGGAAGAGATGCCGTGAAGAGTGTAAAGGAGCAAGAATGCACAGGAAAGAAAAGATACACAAAGTGAGAACTTCCAGCTACCTCACCTCTGTCTGTTTCTTCTTCATGGCTTCATAGTAGGGACTGTGCTCAGCAAGGTGGCGGTTGGGGGCACACAGATAGTAGATGTTGCGGGTTCCTGCCTGCATACGGCTGCAATAGTCAGTTATGCTTGTCTGCTGGCCTGCAGGCAGAGCTGAGGACTCAAACCGCAGCAACTTTCCAATATCCTCCTGTTATAAGTTGGAAGAAATAAATATTTATGAATGAATACAATTATACCAGGGACTCATCAGTGATACTGCTTACTGCATTTATTTTGTTCAGGTTGTTGCAACCAGAGCTAGATCCCAAGGCAGCCTTGGCAGGAGCCTAGGACCTGGTAGATGTCCAGGGGGCTCAGCTACAACCTTCATCACAAGGGGGCTCAGCTACAACCTTGGTCACAAGGGAACAGAGGGGCGCCAGACTAAGTACAGCTGTGCTTGGTGAGACCTTCTACAGCGAACCAACAATGCTCACCAAACCTTTTCTGTAAGGTTTCTGCTGGTGCGCCCCACGTACAGCATACCACAAGGGCAAGAAAGACAAACTACATATGTTGAAGAGCAGTTATAAAAGGCCCCAATGGGGTATGCTTTCCTATAGGGAGACACCTGGACAACGTACAGATATGCCTGTCTCTTTTTACCTTCGAGTGAGTTGCCAATTGTATGTTTTTAATAAATTGCACCATTAATGTGCCCATCAGAGTGCCCCTGTAAGTCTACACCCAACCTTGAGGGCGGACAGGAGCTGTGCCGGGATCCTTGCTGGACACTTGTGCACAGGCAGAAGGCAGGTGCCAGAGACAGTGAGCTGAAAGGGGCGGGGCGCACACGTGATGTCATGTTGCCGTGACGACCGCCCTGCTCAGCAAGGGATCTGTCATTGCGGGTTGGCGGTCCGGGCGGCAGCGCTGCCAGGGCTGTTCGCGGACCACGGTCTGCCATTTAGTGACCGCTGCTCTAAAGGTGCTGCCGCTGATACCGCTTATTCTCGGACTTTTATTTATTATAACACTCCTCTAGTGCCGATTGTATACTATAATTTCTGCGTTACAACTGTGTCCCTTCCCAAAAGAGGATGCACTTATAGGTAACTAGTGTCTGATGGGACAGGCCATGCCATGCCAGTACAGAAAATGCAAATGAGGAATCTTCTTTCAACCTATTGGAATCCTTTTCAGTTGTACAAGAACAACAGTTTCAGGCGTTCCCACCCTTCCTCAAGTTCCTGAGTGGAGATGTTCAAAACTGGTATTCTTGGACATACCTATGTACCATTACCATTAGAAAAAAAATTATATTCATTGCTAAATTTCTATTCTGCATCTACAGAGAGAAACACTTCTTTGGGTTTCGTATAATAGAGTGGAACCTGCTCTATCATTAATAAAAAAAAAAATCTCTATGTAGCCCACCCTACTGTTATATATATATATATATATATATATATATATATATATTTGTTTTTTTGGCATATATTTATTATGTGTGTCTATAGTGCACAGTTACTGTGTTTCACTGCTTCTCAAATTTCACAACAGTTCTTCAAAGGGCTGCCACTGCCAATCTCTATGAAAATGCTTGTTTTCTAGCTGTTATGCAGCTTCTCTGGCCACAATATGATCCAGTAGAAGCATTCCCATTAGAAAATTCAAAGAAAAGTCTTCTGCATGCTTGTTCTAAGTCAGAGATGCAAAGTATTAACAGGCAGAGATGAGCATGGCACTCAGGCAATGTGCATTTTTAAAGGTTAACAATCACAGCCTCCATATTTCATGTATGACAGGTGTGTTTAGGCAGGGACTGCCAAATGTAGTATCGAATATTCAGCCGACCAATAAAGGGAACATTTTCTGCTGATAATGCTGATGTCATTCTGTGTAAATGAATTCTAATCCTCACCCTGACATCCTGTTCTGGGGTGGTAACAATCCCTTCCCGTATAAATAGTCCATAATCCTCGAAGAATTTGTTGTATTTTTCAGGGTCCTTCTTACACTGGTCCAGGAAGAATTTGACCAATCGTTTCTGTAGCACTTCACGCAGTTTTCTGACAGAAGCATTGGATAAAAATACAAAAAATTCACTTATTAAAAATTTAAATGCATCACTGTCCATAATCTCTAATATGTGGCAATGGAACAGTAAACAAAAGTTTATATCCACCTGTCTAGAAGTAGAAGAAAACATAGAAAACATCCAGGAACTTTGGTTAGACAAACAGCATCCCTAGAGGAAGCTCATCCCTGGTTCACACTGGATCAGACTTTGAAATCGTGCAACTTCACAAAGTTGCACGATTTCAAATCCGCATGTCAGTGCACTTCAGGTGCAACTTGATGCACAGATGTCTATGCAAGTTGCACCTGAAATCGCCAAAAAATGGTGCAGGAACCATTTTTTTTTTTTTTTTTTTTTTTTTTAAATCGGTGAGGCACCGATCTGAATGGTTCTATTGCTGAGAATAGGGTGCGACTTGTCATGCATTTTGAAACTGTCAAATCGCATGACAAGTTGCACCTCTAAACAAAATAAAAAGGTAAAAAAAAAATGACAGATGTAAACCTTCACATATCTCATTGTTTTCTTCCAGTAGTTGTGCAAGTCCACTTCCCACAGAGCTGTATTCCCAATCAGTGAGAAGAGAAACACACTTGACACCATATCCAGTACACACCAGCATGTCTCAGCTCACCTAATGAGAGAACTCTCCTGCAGCAGCTCCCGGCTCAGATTCAGAGGTATATCCTCACTGTCCACAACTCCTGCAAACAATAAAGAAAGGATAACATATGAAAAGGTGCTAGCAAGGCATTACATCACTCATTTTAAAACAAATATTCCTAAAGCGGAACTAAAGCTGAAAATAATCATCCCCGCTTCAATGATCTAACATCCGTGGGCTCCCTTGCCAATGCAGACATCTTCTGCCCAGATTTCACTGAGTGACGGGTCGTCATCTGTCTTGATTGGCCGGAACAGGATGATGAAATTCCCACACACGTTTAGGAATTTATCTGGGCACACAGGCACTATGCCAAGAATATACCCTGGCATGTCTCTTCTGCAATAATCTGCCTGCTTGCAATTTTTTTTTATTTACAATTTTTAACCTCTTAAAGGATTTGCATTTCTGTTTATTCTCCTGAGATTTACAAAGCCCTAGGAAGCAGCCTGAAGACCTGACAACTGGGTCTTGTCCCACCCCGACTGTGAAAGGAAACTGAAATAGAAACTGATGTATACATACATACACAAACACACACAGATAATGAAGCACAAATGAATGGCACCTTGTGCTGCATCAACCCCTCCCAGTCTGAGCTCTGCTGTACAGGACTGCAAGCAGCTGGTACTGAGTCAAATTCCTCCATTTCATTAGTGTTCTGCCTCCTTGGGTCTACAGCCATCATCTTGCTAAGCACTGTAGCTGCACACAACTGAGCCATACAAAAACAGCTCACCTCGCAGGAAGCGCAGCCACTTGGGTAGAATGTCTGCGGCTTTGGTCTGGATGAGGACTTTTCTGCTGTACAGAGCCACGCTGGATCCCAGCTCCCTACTCACATCAAACATGGAAGGTTTCTGTATGAACAAGGAAGCAAATCCATTACACAATGCCACACACAGACACAAGGGCGAGATCACATCCATACTTATTGGACCGGCTGTATTCTTTTGAATAATGGAAAGACTTTTCTGCTTATACGTAGGATTGGATAAAGGGTCATAACTGAACTCACCACGTCTGGTACGTAGAAAATGCTGCGGATATTGAGAGGTGCGTCTGCCTTGTAGTGGAGCGTGTAGCGTGGTTTGTCATAAGCTTGGGCAATAAACCGGTAGAATTCCTCATGCTGAAACTCTCCAATCTCCTTGGGATTCATCATCCACAGAGCCTGAATGGAGTGGCATTAAAAATGAAAAGCAGGGAAAAGGAAAATGTACAATGTAAATCTCACTATGAGAAATGTACTAAAAGCTCAAATCTAATTGCTATGGGTTCCTAAAGTGTGTCCAGGCCTTTAATCAGTTATGTTCCACCAATACAACTTTTGTAGTGTATGTGTATTAACCTGGAAGTCACCAGACATCCTTAACATTTAACTTTAAAATAAATTCAAACTACTATATTGTTTTCTTTTTTCCTCTTTAATTTTAACTGGTAATCCTTTGAATAAAACACTTTAAGTCCCAGGGTGGCTACACTCACTTCACTTTACCAATAGAGAAAGCCATGGTTGTCACCTAGGTTGGACCTCAAACATGTCTTCCACTCCCCACTACATGGGAGGATGGGTAGTAATTTACGGAGAGACAGTAACATAGTTTGTGCTTTCAATTTATTTCACCGGAAGTGACAAGGACACTGCATTTGTGGCAAGATTAGGAGAAATTTTCTATATCTAACATTTTGCTGAAAATGTTCTTAGCCTGCAAAATAAAAACGAATGTAGCCACCACATTTAAGGATTGGTAAGCTGTAATATATTACATTTTTGGTCTTGGGTTTAGATATCCTTTAAAGGGACACGTTTGGGGTTATAAAAAAAAAAATGAACACACATATTCACCTGCATGCTGCAGCATTGGTGTAATGCTACAGCTGTCCCCCATCGGCTCTAAGTCTGGGAACTAAGCATTCACATGACTGCTGATCACTCAGTTCTTGGTCTGCTCTAGGCTTTGCCCCTCCAGTGCTCACTGGAGCGCCAAGCAGGAGAGGGGGTGGGAGCGGCTGGCTCTCAATGGCATGCTATGCCAGAGCCAGGTGTCAATCAGGCATCTGGGTGGATCCTTTCTAGAGCATGGAGTGGCTCTGTCGCGTCAACCGACAGCAAACTTTAGCCTGCTGTTGGCTGATTCCGGGTCGTAGGAGAGCACAAGTGCGCGTACTCCTCTGACCCACAGGAGAAGAGCCAAAGCTTTGCCATAATTCTTTTTTTTTTTTGTTTTTTAGGAGGGATAGAAGGGGTGTGTTATTATTCACATCCTACCTGTAATGTATTAATCCTCTTTCCATTCAGGTAAAGGGGGAAGCTGACAAAGTTGCTGTATTTTGTTACCACCTCTGCAAAGAAACAAAAGAAAAGTCGACTAAACTACATAAATCAGTAGTGCATTTCCTACAGAAAGTTTAAAAAGTCATTGATGTTTATTATTTATATTTTTTATACTTCATTTTAAAAACAAATTGCAGACTTTTATCATTTTGGTACTTAATTCTGTGTAAGTTTCTAGATTTTGGAGTTAGGTTGGTTAAGCCAAAAGTCTATAAGCATCTATGTAAGCATTGGGCAGATGCTCCTGTGTGCACGGATCACACATGGCAGCCCTTAAAATCTGACATATAGTAAGGGTGACCTAAAGATAACATGAAAAAGACTGCACAGCAAGGATATAACAGGCAGAAAAGAAAAAAAGTTTTAAAAAGGAGATAATCTCCAGAAACTCACCTTTCACTCTGTCCTCACTGGCAAACTCCTTACATTCGTCCTTTAGATGAATGATGACCTTCGTTCCTGGCCTCACTCCACTGGCCTCTGCCATCTCAAACAGCCCAGACCTGAAGATTAAGAAGCAACCATGTACACACAGAGCAAAATGAGCAACTGTAGCATGACCGACATCCACAACACCCACTATCAATGCCTGATTACAATGAATGACAAACGTCCATACCACACTGCACAGGCAGGCAGTGGCACCACTATTTCCTCATTTAGCTTTGTAGTTTCCTGTGAGCACTTTCTACTTCGACTTTTTATTAGAAAACCAGCATAATCACATTTCTGATTCTCTGTCCAATGAGCAAAATAGGTGATACAGGATGTTGAAGCAGAAAATACTGGGGGTTATCTTCCAGTCTATGCAGTGAGGAAGTGTGGGAATAATAAAACTGGCTCCACAGAACCTCAAATCCTTTGGCAGATAAACCTGCTGACATATATTGCATGTACTTCAAATGTGTCTTTAGCTGCTTGCTCAGAGCTCTGCATTAAACAACAGGTATTGGATAATTCACATGCTTTCTTTATATAAAATGAATAGAGTACAGGAGAAAATATAATTAAATTAATTTACAATTTATACAAATGGTGTCACTGCTGAACGTATGCTAGTATTATGGCACCTCTCCCCACATTTAAAGCAGACAGCAATAAAGCATGCAAAAAATATGCAAGCTAAAGCTGTCCTACCTCCTAGGACACTATGCAGACAAGTACAGAACAAAAACAAGGAACAGCAATGCCCGTCTTATATTTTTTGTCCAACCTCCTAGGAGCCTATACCTAGAGGTTTGCTGTGTCCCCTATGAACATTTACAGAAATAACTTCTCTCCAAAAAATGAATAGAGCAATCCAAAATCAAACTAATTTTCATATTTTCCTCGAACATCTGAAAATCCAGACAGCGCAAGCCCATAAAAAGCTAAATCAAGCACATTTGTGCAGATAAAAACAACAAGCAATAGATAGCCGGTGGCATCTCCTGAAACCGGTGCTGATTGTAAGGGAAAGGGGGGGGGGGGGGTCCCAGTCATGGAGTGGTTTAACATCCTTCACTTACCCATCAGATGTCCAGCAATACCCAGCACTTCCAGGCTCTGAAGACTGCGAGTAAACGACAACCTTATCCGCAACCATAAATGCAGAATAGAAACCGACACCAAACTGGCCAATAATCTTTCCAGAACTGTCAGCCTGATTCTGCAGAGCCTCCAAAAAGGCCTACAAGAGAAAGTAGTGCACTGCAGCAAGCGTATTTGTACATACTGTGTTATAAACATCGGCATATGGAAACTTTCTATGTCAGCTGAGCTCCTACCTTAGATCCAGAGCGCGCGATGGTCCCCAGGTTGGAGACTAGCTCTTCCTGTGTCATCCCCACTCCAGTGTCCTGCAGAACAAGATCAGATATATATTAAATATATATGAATGAAAATCATAAATAATAAACCTTTCTAGTGTCAGTGAAAATATTTCACAAAAAAAGTCCAAAATTCCAAACAATTATTTATCCAAGTTCTGATTCCTAATCCCCGTGTATTTCCAAGAATGACGTATACCTCCAAAGGAACAAAAAATGAATAGTGTATTATCCTCAGTATAAAAGAGATTAAATCAAAATTTAAATATGATCCACAAAAACTGAATATGAATGAAACCCCACAATGTATTTCATTTCCTCAAGTGTACCATCCCAGAATCATATTCCTTTACTGTATTGATTATTAAATTAAATATGATCACCATTTATTTTTTAATCAATACAATAAAATATCATTTTTAATGGAAGTATGACTCTCTGATAGGTTAAATATTTTTCTCAGGGGTACATTTAAAGTCCAGTGTCCTAAATTCACTAAAGTCACCAAGCTAAAACTAAGCTCTCTTCTTTTTTTGCCCAATGTCTATCCTTCTTAGTGTGGTTATTATAGCTGCTATATACTCTAACATTCTAGGAATATGCTGTAACTCAATTACCCCACTGGCACCTACCAGCTTTGAGCAGGAACATCATTTCTATACAGCTGTTATTTCTCTGTAATGTAAAGGCCTGTACATGCCGGCCGAATATCGGTGGATTCAAAAGAAACCGCCTGACAATCGGCCAATGTGTACACCTGCCTGTCCAACAAAAGCCTAGGATTCGATCAGTGCCGGCAGCCAATGGCCCCCTGTTAGAACGTGGGGAGATCGATGTACTAGTGTCAGATAGTATAGTGAGTTTCTCCCGAGCTCTTCAGTTTTTTTTTCAGCCGCTGGGTTGAACGGTAAAAAATAAATAAATAAATAAATTATGGTGTGTACCCAGCTTAACCTGCATATTTCTTCATGTTATGCAAAGCTGTAGATTGATGAAGAAATGGCAACTGGAATAATGGAAACAAACTCTGTTTCTGTTTTATGTATTGTTTTTATTCAATTGTACTGAAAAAAAAATGTTTTTCTTTTTTTTTATTTAAATGTTTATTGATTTTCAAAATATTAGGAAATTTAAAATCCACAATATAAATTCTCTACATTCATATAACAACAATATCTAATTTAAACATTAATTTCCCATATTTTCCTTATTCCTCCCAACCCCCCCACTAGCAAATCCAAAGTCACCCCCCCTCCCCAAAAAAAAAAAAAATGTTTTTCTTCTGCAAAACAAGAAAAAAAAAAAAAAAAAAAAGGAGTATACTAAAAAAAAAATTGCACTCATAAAATCAACACACATTTTCCCCTTTTACCAAGAGTGGGCAGAAGACTGCTAGCTGAAAATCAGTTATTCAACACTGACTGAGTGCACTGACATAACATGCATTTTCCCCACTACCATCAAGAATGGTGCAACAGTGCTGTTACCCAATTCCTTGTACCTGGATAGTGATGGTCCCCTTATCACTGTCTGTCTGTAGGTGAATTTCCATCTCCGGCACGCCATTCCCTTGGGACAGGAGCTTGTGACGGAGTTTTTCAAGAGCATCACTGGCATTTGAGATCAGTTCCCGAATGAAGACCTACCATAGGAAAAGCCAAGTCATAAACAAACAAATTCTAATTACATTTTAATTCAGTAGCTAGCTTCAGAAATCTCCCATCAATTTCAACATAATGAGCCTCATATATAAGGTCTTCCATGGTATAGTTTTCTCCCTCCTAGCAACCAACTAGTTTTCTCTTTCCCTGCTTCTAGAGCAGGCTGGAAGGGAAAGATAGGCTGCCCCTGTCTGCTTTTACTGTAACTAGGGGATAGACTTACTAAAGGAATAGTCTGTAGTTTCTGTACCTTTTAGTTCTGACTATTTGCTTCCCCTGGTACAGATCTTTCCTGCACATAAGCAGGTCTGCCACATACAGTCAGGATAAGTACAAAGCTGTTTCCACAGATTTTCTGTCATACTGACCCAAACAGCAGAGAGATCTACAGCCTACCAGAGTTAGGGCTGCCTTGCTAATGTAGATATATGCATGGTGCTCAGAGTTATGTGTGCACCGTATGAAATGCTATTAAATATTTTAAGCAAACAACAGCAAAATGATATAAAAAGATCACTTTCGAAAATGTGCAAACTTAAAAAAGTAATGAAACTGACCAATAACCATTATACTTTCTTTTAATCCCTTAATGACCAAGAGCACCAACCTACAGCCTTTGTGTGGCATCTCCTACCCTAGAACATAGATCTACATTCTCGACTAAGAGATGGGTAGAGCCAGACCTCCACTGGGGCTCCGATAAATAAGCAAAGATCTTGAAACGGATTGTACCCTGTCTCACCCCACCCAAAATGTATTTGGGTGGTATTGGCATTCTGTTTTGGGTAGTATTGGCATTAAATTACTGTTCATAAGTAGAGATGAAAAGTTATACCTCTTTTTCAGAGTATAAAGAGCGTGCAACAATGTCCAACAGCTTCTTAGTCTCAGCCTGAAACTCGTGTTTAGAGGCAGAACCTGTAATAGAGTAGATATGAAGGGTAAGGTATGTCTTTTTGCTGATGACACAAAGGTGTGCAATAGGGTTGACATCCCTGGAGGTGTCTGTAACATGGAACATGATTTGGCACTGCTGTAAGATTGGACAAAAAAGTGGAAATTGCAGTTCAATGTTTCTAAACGTAAAATAATGCACCTAGGGAAAAAGAATCCCTTGAGAGAGTACAACATTGGTGGCAGGCCTGGAATGGCCGAAGGGCACACCAGACATTTGCCCGGTGGGCAGGGGCAGCATGCATAAGAGGGGCGGCACATAGAGGAACCGTACCGTATATTTCTCACCTGCCGTCACTGAATGCCTGCTTCTCGGCTGCTGGCATCAGGAGAGAAATGCATGGACCGATTCCTCTATGTGCTGCCTGGCCGCCCCTCCTATCATCTCCTGCTGCCATTGGCTCCTGTATGCTGCCCTCGCGGCCGCCCCTCCTCCCCCCTTCTCCTGTAGCGCTGCCATCAGGTTCATCCCTCCCTGCAGCTTAAGTGGGGGATCAGTCAGGATATACTATCCCCAGTGCTGACAGTTCCCCCACCATCACAGACAGGAGAGGAGAGAGAAAGCTGGTTCTGCCCTTCCTCCTCCCGCCCTTTCCTACTGTGTCTGCCCCACCCGCACTCCAAAGCAGTCTTGTGTTTTCTCTCTTTCTTTTCTTCTTTCTCTTTCTCTGTTTCTCTTTTTTTCCCCTCTCTCACATTCTCTCTCTTTCTTTCTTACCTTCCCTCTTTTCTTTCTTTCCATCTTTCTTGCTCTCTAATTCTTTCCCTCCCTCTCTTTCCTTTCTTCTTTCTCTCTCTGTCTTCTCTTTCTTTCTCTCTTTCCTTTTTTTCATTCGCTCTCACTTTCACTCGCTCTCTCTCCCCCTTTTTTTCCACATCTCTCTCTTTCCTTCCTTCTCTTTCTCTCCCTCTCTGTGTCTCCCCTTCCTTTCTTTTTTTCTTGCTTTCCTCCTCTCTGTCTTCTCTTTCCCTCTCTCTCTTTCCTTCTCTCTTTCCTTCTCTCTAATTCTCTCTTTCTCGCTCTCTCGTTCTCTCTCTTTTCTTTCTCCCCCCCTTCCTTTCTTTTTTTTCTCTTTCCTCCCGTCTCCTTTCTCAAATTTTTTCTCTCTGTCTCTGCTTCCTTCTCTCTCTCTCTTTCTCTAATTCTCTCTCTCTTCTTTCTTTCCTTTCTTCTCTCTCTGTCCAATTTCTCTCTTTTCTTCCTCTCTCTCTCTCTGTCTCCCCTTCCTTCCTTCTCTTTCCTTCCTTCTTTCTCTCGATCTCTTTCTCCATCTCTTATTCTCTCTCTCTGTCTCCCCTTCCTTCCTGTCTTTCCTTCACATCAAACCCCCCCAAATGTTAAACAAAATTAAAAAATAAAATAAAAACCTACTGACACTAGTGGCGGAAGTACCAGGATCGCAAAGGTCGTTATTGCGACTGGGCCCTGGAGTTCCACCACCAGGCTCCGAAGGGTCCCTGGGCTTGGGGCTTCCCCTGTCTAAAATGCCCGGGCCTATTTTTTTCCCAGTCTGGCCCTGATTAGGGGTACAGTTGGCTAGCACTTCAGAGGAAAATGACTTGGGGGTATTTATTTCAGATGATTGCAAAATGAGCAAACAGTGTGGCCAGGCAGTGGGGAAAGCAAATAGAATTCTAAGATGCATCACTAGAGGGGTCACCAGCTGAAGGAAGGAGGTCCTGATTCCCATATATAGATCTTTAGTTGTCACTAGAGGGGTCACCAGCAGGAGGAAGGAGGTCCTGGTTCTCCAATATAGATCTTTAGTTAGACCTCATTTAGAATATTGTGTCCAGTCCTGGAGACCTCACTTACAAAAAGATATTGACAAGATAGAATGAGTCCAGAGACGAGTAACAAAAATGATGAAAGGTCTGGGATTAAAACAGATCAAGAGTGACTTCAGGAACTTTACATGTACTGTCTGGAGGAAAGAAGGGAAAGGGGAGACATGATTGAATCCTTTAAGTACAAGCGGGTGAAGAAGGTTCAGGAGGGCAGGATTTTCAACATGAAACCAAACTCAATAACACGGGAACATGACCTTAAACTAACTGGAGGAAAGCTCAAAACTAATCTCAGAAAGTACTATTGTACTGAAAGAGTGGTTGACGCTTGGAATAGACTTCCAACAGAGGCCAGTCAACAGTAAACACCTTCAAACATGCTTGGGACAAGCATCGATCTATACTCAGACAAAAAAGGTAAGAAAAAAAAAAAGAAAGAAAAAACATAACACAAAATTTAAAAAAAAAAACAAAAATGGGCAGACTCAATGGACTACTCAGTGTTTTCCTGCCGTCACTTTTCTAGGTTTCTATATTTTTAACCAAAGGCAGCAACCCTACTAGAGTATATAGCACAAGTACATCAAGAATTACAAGGGAATAATCCCATGAAAAGCTAAGTAAATAACACCCTCCCACAAGAACAAAAGACCTTTTTTTAATCCCCACCCTGTCAAACTACTATGTTTACTAATGTTTTATTTGTAGGTAATAAAGCTGAACAGTCCTTTCCAATTCTTAGGGTCATGTGAAACAGGGGATATGGAATCTGGTGACAACACGCAAATGTCATGATTGCTACAGACCATTCGCCAGCCTGTACAGAATAGTTACCTTGATAGCCAGGTGAGTGAGATGTCCCTTCTCAACCACTTCTTCACTAAGGAAGGCATGTTCAACTGGTGTTTTTGGGGCCACATGTGGTCCTCTTGCTTCTTCTTTTTGCCTCAATAGTTTAGTCTATTATTAACAAGTATGTAAAAGGCAAAACTCTTTGGTTTTAAATATTTAATATAGTGGAGAAGAGTTAGAACCTTTGTCAAGTTAATGCTGTCTATGTCTTACTGGCGGAGATTCACCCCTCTACTTGTCCTGATAAACACTGTCCTTAAGACTAGAAATAATGGGAAATCCTTCATTTCTGAATTGTCACCAGAAAAGGTGAGGGTAAATCTTCCAATGGGGCAAAAGTTCTGGTGTTCTGCAGGACAAGAAGCAAAGGACACAGGCAGCAAAAAATAAACTGACAGAATGTAACACTTCCCTACTCTACTCAAAATTCAGAAAAAAAGGTTTTGCTTTTACATACACTAACTGAAAGATGACCCTCAAATCTAAAGAAGAAGCCGCAGCCCTGGAGACTCAACATGGCGCTGGAGCGCTCTCGCAGAGGACTCCTTGTGGCCCTGAGAGATCCAAGGAGCCTGGCAGCAAACCTGGAAAGTGCAGCTGCTCCACCTATAAAGATGGTAATATTCTCAGCTTTACACAAACTCTCCGATACGCATACGGACACTGATTTTGGAAATGGGGAGGGCTGCTCGGAGCTGTCGGGAGAAGTGGCCTTTACTGTCCCCAGCCCTGACCTAGCCACTATACAGGAGGCGGCCGCCAACACGGCCAGGGAGGATGCCGAGATCCTGGATGGGGGAGAACAACCCACTCTGAGTGATATTCTGAGGGCTGTGAATAAATGCACAGCCTCGGTGCAATCGGTGAAGGAGCAATTAGGGGGGGCTGACAGAAAGTATCCCTTTTGCACCAGGACCACCAAAAGATTAGAGAATGCACAATCGCGGCTGACAGCCGCATCAGTGATTTGGAAGATCAAGTGCCTCCGCTGGTGGCTTAAACCCACGCTACAACTCGCCAATTACATGTGGTCACGGATAAAACAGATGACATTGAAAATAGATTGCGGCGTAACAATGTCCGCATAGTTGGTCTGCCAAAATGAGTAGAGAGCAGAGACCCAACTACCTTCATTGAAACATGGCTGCAGGATATTTTCGGTAAAGATTCCTTTTCTCCCCTCTACGCTGTGGAAAGAGCACATCGTGTCCCTGCTAGAGCTATTCCAGGAGACACCCCGAGACCCGTCCTAGCGCGCTTGCTACATTATAAGTACAGAGAAATCATTCTACGACTGGCCAGGGAGAGGGCACCCTTGCAGTTTATTGGAGCCAGAGTATCCTTCTTTCCAGATTTTTCTGCGGAGGTTCAATGCCGGAGGGCAAACTTTTTGTATGTCAAGAAGCCACTCCAAAGGCTTCAAGTTAAATATGCTATGCTATACCCTTCTCGCCTGCGGATCACGGCGAGAGGCCGAGCTCACTTGTTTGAAACGGCTAGTGACGCAACGCAATGGTTGGATGTCAATGAAGCCTCTCTTAAGATGCCGCATCAAGATGCTGCGGGCTGACCGTATACTCCTGTTGAGTTGAAGCCTTTTTTTCCTCCCATCCAGTACCTGCCTGGTGTTGGGAGCAACATATATATGTGCTGTTTTACAATTTTCTTCAGTTTTTTCTTACAAGCCAAGAGAACTTATCCTACTGCTTCTCGCTATGAAATTTGTATACACGGATGAACGCTCCCCTGTATTCCAACTATTTGGGGATTCAGACTTCTTAGCAAATGTGCACTGTATGGTCCCTCCCAACGCCTGCTGTTAGGCAGGGCGGATGGGTTATTTTGGAGGCGGCTGATAGGGGTTTAACCCAGTCACTCCTGTTGGTTGTTAATTTTTTCACAAACTTTGATCCCAGCACCGTTGTGCTGGGGCCTGTTTTCAACCCTTTTTTCTTTGTTTGTATTAATGGATAACACTGTGTCACGAGCAGACTATTGGGACAGATGGACTATATCATATTCCACAGTATTTGTACTTTTTTCCCATGTATGCTATTATGGGCTTCTGGAAGGAGAGGGTGCTTAAGTAATTTGCTGGGGGAATCCCTTCCCCAAAGGGGCAGCTTGATAGTTTTTATGTTTTATGATGGCTAATGTCCCCATTATGTTGTTGAATGTACGGGGGGTTACATGATCCTTTGAAGCTCTCCATGGTTAATGCGTCCCTGCGTAAATACCACCCAGGTATATGCGGGCTGCAGGAAACACACTTGACCAGGGACATGCTGAAATGTATTGCGTATGCCTGGGTCAGTTGTTCTTACCAGTCTACTTACACTTCGTGTTCTCAGGGGCAAGTTTATTGGTCCACCGATCCTTGGACTTCCAGGTGTTTTCCTCTAATACCAATCACAAAGGCAGATTTAT